TATATACGCAATTGTCTTTCATTTTGTAATTTTTGTCTTCACATTTGAAGTTTCATAGAGCGTTTTAATGATTTATATATTTTTTTATAAACTTGTAATAAATTATATTTGTAGCTATTCTCTCTCTCGGTTGAATATCTAAGGCATTTTTGAAAAAAAAAATATTCTCTGAGTTCAAATGAAGCTTACATCCATTTTTAATCAAGAATCGTTGGGAATTCGTTGTGAATAAAAATATATTCCATGTCTTTGAACTAGAAATAAATAAGTATTTATCCGAAAACACCCAATACCTTTTTTAAAGGATTTTTTTACTTTTCATAAATCATTCTAAAGCTGTTCATCCCTTTTTTCACTTTACAGAAACCTTCAAAGGTCTCAAAAAATATCTCAAAAAACATCATCCTACGCGAAATAAAACATTCCAATTCTAATCCTTTTTCCCCAAGTGAAAACCTCCCATAAAAATGCAATACACTATTTTAAAAGCAGCATATCTCCACCCTTTAAAAGTTTAGAAGCATAAAATAAGCGTTTCGCGTTTTGCCATACTGAAAACACTTAATATTTCAAGAAACTCTCGCAATCGCTATCCATCCTTCTAAATCACGTCAAGACCCTTGCAGACGGAGAAATAAGTTCCGTTCTTCGCTGTGGCAACATAGAATATGACGTACAGATTTCCCCCCAAGGAAGATTAATGAAAACCAGACAAAAGGCGCACTTTCATATTTTGGTAGGGATTTTGCAGCTTAATCTTAAGAGAAGAGGCGAGATTTTGCAAACACTTGCTTCTTAACTGTGATTGTAACTGCATGAATTTTCGGCAAGGGTGCTTGGGTAGTGTCATCTTCATGTTTTGAGCTTCTTTGTGCAGATTGAAGTATACAGTGTTGTTCCTAAAAATAAATTGCTGGGACAAGCTCTTCTGTTAAAGATGACGTTTATGACTTGGCCCACGTAGCTTTGTTGGGTTGTCTGTTGCTAGAGGGGTTTGTTTAATTAGCTTCAGTTTCTTTGAGTAAACTGCGGTATTCTGTGACATTTTGGGGTAGAATGACACGAGTGAAACATGTGACACGTGTGTGGTACCGCTGCTAAGGTCATCGTATGTTATGCACCATTTAAACTGAATGTACGGCATAAAGCATTTGTAATGTTTTAACTATTTAAGGCATTCAACTACGCTAAGACCATGATTTTTTTTTAAAAAAATTGACAATTTTTTTAAGATTTTATTTTATAGGCCATCTTATTAGCTTTATAAAAATACCACGTTTTTTATTTTTCATTCACTAGAATAGTGCTTCTCAAACTTTCAATACTTGCGACAAAATATTCAATCATAATTTTCATCGCACCTCCCTCCATTCAATAACATTGTATTGATTTCGAAAATGTGACACTTGGATGCTAAAAGCTACAATACGACTTTAAACTCTTAAGTGACACTGGCGCATATAAGCATCTCACTCAGCCAAAGCGTTAATTGCCCCCGACGTATATATACGTCTTTCCGAAATACGATCTTTTATGTTCTCTTCTATCTAAATTTATTCCAAAGGCTTTGGAATGCAATAAAATTACCTTGGCTGTGTTTGCGAAGGATTTACCGATTCCATTTATTCCCTTTCTCGTAGCCCCAATACACCACATACGCGTGCGTACGTGCAAAACGGTGGTTTTCTGGGAGCGAATTGCTTAATTTTTTAATCGGCATTTAAAGGGGATTAATTATAAACAATTATCAATAAAGTTATGAAGTTAACTTTTAAATTTTTTGATAAAATTTTTATGCAAAAACCCAAAAAACCCCTGGGATCACTTTTTGAATTATTCAATTTATTTTTAACTTAGTACAGTTAAATTAAATATAAAAAAATTGTGCAGTACTGATATTTTTTTAAGTGTATTATTTTCAGTATAAAATTTTTTTTCTAATTATGTCAGAATGCTTTTTTTTGCTGATTTTCAAAAATTAGAAACCCTTTAAAAATCTTTAGTTTTCGAATCTTTTGTTTTAACATGCTCCCCCCCTCCTAAGGCCATCACCCCCCACATTTTGGGAGAAGCACTGCACTAGAACAAAAACTACAAGTGTTTTAGTAAAAGCAGATGCCGTAACGTTACATAAGATGTCAAACTTTAAAATGAGTTTTATTCGAAATGTTCTTTTTCTTTTTTTTTCTTTCGAATATCTCAAACGGAGACAGTGATTGCTCAAAAAGTTCTTAAAATAATTTTCTGAAATTTTTTATGTATGTTTTGCATAATAGTAGAAGTGTTTTAACCTTCAGATTTATCAATAACTGTTTTATTTCGAAAATTTGCAGTTCTTTATGTGAATATAACACTGTTTTTTAAAGCAATTTCATATGACTGAGTGCTCTAGTTTTTGTAAAAAATAAAATATCTTATATCCCAAAGGAATTTCAAAAACAAATAGGAAACTAAAACATCAAAATTGAAAAATTGAGAATTTGTTCATTTACTTTTTTTAAAAGAACGGGCCCCGTTTATGAACCTTTTTTTCCCTTTTTTTCCCATTTTTAAAAAAATAATAAATTTTTTTTTCTTAATCTTACATTTTTTTAAAAAAATGTTTTAAAAAAAACTTTGGGCCCCAAAAAATATCAGTGCCTGTACAATGTATGTGAAAATCATTTGTGTGGCCAGATTTCGGTATCCCGTACGGTGCACGTGCAAATCAGTTAAGGTGTTAGCATTACTCGAAGACTATTCAAAACACAATTCTCAAATGAATTGTACAGGCGAGAAAATCGAGATTTTCATATTTTCAAAATTTTACAAGGAAAACATTTGATGCCTATGCGCCAAAATACGAAAATTAGGATAATAGTGGTTATGGAAATCTAACTATAAGTATCTTCATTCAAACTTGGTTCTAAACTATAAAGTCTATAACTATCGCTTTATCGATGCGTTATTCTAACTATATTTTAATTAATTTCCAGACATAATTTAATATATTATTTAATCAGAATTTCAGCATGAGTGTCCAAATTCAAAGAGGTAATCAGTAATGCAATTCACTATTTTTCTTTTTGTTCTTATAAGTAGTTTGCGCATATATTGCACATATTCCGAATAATTTACACAAGTGTAATCAAGTTTTACAAACTATTAGTCATCACGACATAAATATTTTAATTATACATATAAATTCATTTATTCATTCATGGGAACATTATTCAAAATATTGAAATCATGTATTATATGAATCTATATATCCGTAATAATATATATCACGGTATAAATATTATGTAAACCAAGAAAATATTGTTAGGATAATTAAGTACTATATAAATATACCTGTTTCGAGAAAGATTGCTGAGATTGAAGTTAAATGGGGGATGCTATATTTCCATAGAATAATTATTTTCTTGCAATATTTTCCAGCAGTTTATCAATGCTGAATTTATAAGCGCTGGATTCTCAATTCACTGGTGATTTTATGTGGAATTAGATATAATGATTATTATGTAGAAACTATTACGAAGATTATTTTGTGGATTAAAAAAGGATTTGGACTTACTTTTTATTAACACTGACAACTCTGACAATAAATACATCCTAACATCGAAAAATATATTCCTGATCTTAATTCTCACAGACCTAGATCAATCCTTATTGATCCGGTTTTCTTTAAATTCCTAAATATGCTCTCTTTTATCTATGTTATTTTTCTTTTAATTTTATTCTTATTTCATCTTCGAAGCATCAAAAAATCCTTCTCAAAGTGGCATATGACACTATTATATTTTAGATCTACTTTACGCACAAAATTTTCCAACTGTGGTAAACCGCACTTACAACCATTCAAGACTGCAGAGACCCAAATACAAAGCGTCATTGTGCATAAAATACAATGTAAAAGAACAATCCAAGCATTGTGACTATCGAAAATCCCATATCGACTAATATTTCAAGTCATTGTGACAATTTTAGATCCAGTCTTAACTGCCTCCAACCCTTCTTAAGAAATCTAACCAATCATCGCTTCTAAAATAAATTCTAACTTTTCCCTATCAAGCGTGGAAAAAAAGCAACCAACCCTTTAAATAAATCTACCTTATCCAGACACAAAAGACCCTTTCAGTTTGGACTCCTCGCTGCATAATAGATTATTATTTTCCTTTTGTGCATGAGAAAGATCAAAGAGGGATGCAATTATTCGCAAACGCAATATCCGTGTTTTGCTGGACGTAATGCTAATTCTTGGTGATTAATTATTTCTTCATTTCTGGTTCTAATCTTGGGTGGTAATAAATGAGAATTGTTTGGTAATTATAAAAGGTTAACTCTCTGCTCGCTGAGTTCGAGGATTAGTTTGAACATTAGTCTGTAAATATTTCTTTATTTGGTAAACACGCCGATCGCTGCGTTTTGATGGGATTATAGTGTCTGCTGCAATGAGTTTTATGGTTTACAAAACGGTATTTCTTGGGAAATAATTTATGGACAGAGTTATTGCCATTTTTTGTAAGCTATTGTTGAAGATAAATGAATATGCATAGGCTGTATATCGTGAACGTAGTCTTAGGCAGGAATCTAAATGTGAATTAATGATCATAAACAATTTAGGGACGTACGCGGAAGCTATGTCTTCCGGTATATGTATTTAACCTCGAAACCAGCAAGAGGTTGGTTAATTAAGTACTGGTTTTCAATATAATTCTGCCGAATAAATATAAATGAAAATATTTTGATGAAGAGCTTATAGTAGTATATTTTTCAATTCTCCAAAAATTCCCTCACTCTCTCTTATATATATCTAGTTCAAAATTTCAATCATTAAAAAAGTACTTTCTATTCATCTGTCCAAGTTTAAATACATTTTTTAAACTTGTACTGGAGGATACTGGATGTTAATACAGTTTTTCAAATATTAATTCATTAACTAAATTAAAAAGGAGTAAATAGTAACAAACAAAAATAATAGTCCAACAGCATATATAGAAAGGAAAATCGTTCGTTGTGTCCCTGTAGCGCAACAGATAGCGCGTTGGACTTCTAATCCAAAAGCTGGGGATTTGAATCCCACCTGGGATGGCATAATTTCTGATAATGGGATTTCTTTTTTACTATATCATTTTTTTTAAAGATTTTTAAATTTTAAATTTAAAGGAAAAATATTAACAAAAAAAAACAAAAAATGGTTCAACACCCTATAAAAAGGGGAAAAAAAAACCTCCCGGGAAACCCCTCTCCTTTTTTTTTTGCCCCATTAATAGTGTGATTCTGTCAGTTTAATATACATATTTATATTAATTTAACTTTTTTAAAAAAAAAAAAAGCTAAATAAATGTTTTTTGTTGACCTAAGTGGCAATTGATTTAATTTTTTATATTAATTTGAATTCAGTCAGAACCCCTTATACATCTTTTACAAAAATATTGGCGAAATTTATTAAACCTTTTGAAATATAATGGGTTCAAAAGGGAATTTAAAATTAAAAACACTAATTTTTTTATTACTCAATAGAAAATAAAATTTTATATCTACGGGGGCTTTGTCTGGAAAGAAATTGCGGTTTACCATGGTAGTACCCCCAGTTTAAAATTACACTTTTATCTCTGTTTGGGTTGCCGGTAAAATAACCCCCCTCTACAATGGTTGTGCTGTTTTAAAGTGTTAGTGAGCTTTTCCAAAAAAAATTTAAAGGCGATACCCAAACTTTAAAATTTGCATTCTTAATAATTTTTCCCCTAAACGCAAGGAATTTTAACCCTTTGGAAATTCATCCGTGAACTTGTAAAAGTTTATGGTAAAAAATGTAGGGGATGGAATGAGGGAAAAAGTGGATTTGCCCAAATTCATTGTTTGGGGAAATCAATGTGTATGATGAAGCACGGAGGGGTATTAATAAAAGGGTAAATAATTTTCCCTTTTAAATTTTTGAGCAATACGTTTTCTAGCATTTACGATCTTCTGATAGAAAGCCCAGATACTTACAGAACACTGTACATTACGTTCAGCTTGTCGGGAAAAAAGGAAAGCTGTAATTTTTCTATAGCCAAATAATCCCTGGTTCCCAATAAAATCATAAGATTTTTAAAAGGGAAACTACAGTGAAAATCCCCTTAAACAGGAAACTGAAGGGACGGGGAAATTTTTTTTCTTTTTAAAAAGATTTCGTGTTGGGGATATTGCACATAAATATATATATTTATCAATAAAATTAAGATTATTAGATTTTATTTTATTTGCATATATATATGCATATATTTAATAAAAATGAATGAAACAAAATCTTCCAAGGAACCCAAAAGAAATTTTTTTAAAAATTTTTAAAAATTTTTAAAAACCCAAAACATTTATCAAGTTTTAAAAAAAATTATCTTTTTTTCCTTTTCTTTTTTTTACCCCATCCAATTTTTTCGATATCGTCCATTTCATTCGTTTTTGATTTGGGGTGTGCGCCCAAAGAAACTGCCAAATTTTCATTGATGTTCCTCATTTGGGTTTTGACGGGGGGGAAAAAACCGCCAAATTGATTTCTTTTTAATCTTTGGAACAGGGCATCAATGGGTTTTTTTTGAGTTTTGAATGTACCCCAAAATAACTTTTTTATAATTTGTTTTACCCCCCACATTATCTTCTTTCCCCTTCAAGGGTTCTTCCGATAATATTAAAATTAAAAAAAACCCCCAAACCCGGAATTTTTTTTCGGTATTTTGTTAATTCCTAGAAGGGGGAAATTTTTTCGTGTTAAGCCCCGTTTTTATTTAAAAAAAAAAAATGCAAAATTTTTAATGGTTTTTTAAAAGACCGCTGTTTTTATGTCCGTTGTTTATTTCGTTTTGGGGATCCGATTACGTTCCGGGTCTTGATTTTAAAAAATGCATAAATGGATAATTTTCAGGAATTTTATAGTATCACTTAGATTGAAATATTTTGGGATAAAATTGTTTTAAGGGCATTTTGACAAAAAAAAAAATTTTTTTAAACCAATATTTTTGGGAAAAAAAACCCAAATAATCTTTTTAAAAAAATTCCCCCTTTTTAAAAAACTTCCATTAAAAAGGGGGTTTTTGCCTAAATATAGCTCAGAAAACCCCTCTACAGAGGCTCAACTGGGGGTTTTTTAAAAATTCCCTTATTTTAAAAAACCGCAATTGGGGAAAAAATTATCCCTTTTTTTTTTTTTAAAATTTTTTTTTAAAAATGCCAAACAATTTTCACATGTATTCTAACTAAAATGACACTTTTTTCCATGAAAAAATTTTCCATTTTTTGCGCTTTTGCAAAAAAACTTGGTTCGAAAATATTTGGATATCTTAAAAGTTTTGCATTGGGGGGGATTTTACAAGCCCCCGAAAATTAAAACCGGGTTCGATGGGTCATCAACCTTTAACTATACCTTTGTTAAAAGCACAAGACCTTTTAAAAATACTATCCATAATACAAGCGACTTCTAAATAACTTTCCCGCAATCAAAATAACTGAAGGTATAACAGAGAGCAATAATCTTAAAACTTTTTCTAATTTGCGCTCTCAAGGGGAAACTCGTTACAGAAATATCGACGCACAATCACAATATTTAAGTTATTCATGTTATAAATGAGTATTTCTGTGTGGGGGAGGGGTCGGTAATGCCACCCCATGAGTTTTTTCTCATAAGTTATTCCACTCCTTAATGCACACGACTGCACCTTCTGCTCCAGGGAGTTTTGTCCCTCCGAGGAAAAGGGGATGTTCCGAAAGTGGTAGACGGAACCGGAACCAATTTAAGTGGCTTCTATCTAACAGGCGATGATCGTATTGATGCGTATGAATAATTGAACATTATTAGCAGTTAAAAGTTTGTTAATGTAAAGAGTTAAAGAAAACTTCTTTTGTATTGTTATAGGATTTAAGAATATGGCCTGAGAAGATGGAGATGATAAGTATTACAAATACAATTCATAATCCGTATGTTAAAATTTAGATCATCTAAACTTATTTTGAAATTCGATTTCAGCATTTTCAAATATAACGAATGTTAAAAGGTAGAAGGTATTAAAATATAATTATGACATTATATGAATTCAGATAAACGTAGTATCAAGGCAGAATTTTTAAAGCAACTTTCCATGTATTGATCATGCCAATCTCAGAAACAACAACAAACAGATCTATTGTTCTTAGGGAATATAAACATTAAGTTTCTACTTCAGTTTAAAACTGAAAAGAATAAAATGCAAGTTGATAATACAGTAGATTCCCAAAATTCGGCCTAATGTCGACCGAAGGGTGGTTGAGTTTGTAAAAATGCCGGGTTATCGAGATTGGAATTAAAATACGTTGTTCTTTTTGTGAAATTATTTCCTCACAGCTTTCTTGACAGCACATTTTTTGAAGAAACGATGACGAAAATGGCACACAGCATAAAAGGTCTGACCACTGCACACAGCATCTGATCAGGGAGTCGTCTTCGTAGATAGAATGCGTGGGAAGAAGCGGAAAAAGCACGTGGGTGAATCACACAGTTATCCTTCCGCCAGAAAAGTAGTTCACTCGCTTCAACCCAACAAAAAAGAATGAGTGTTTTCTCAGAAAATATTGTACTGCCCTTGTATGTGTTGTTTGCTTGAGAAAATAAAACTATCCCATTACCTATAAAGGAAAAGTACACATTTTATGAAGGCAAAGGGCAATTACCTTAAAAAAATGAAAACTAATGCATGTATATAGTATACAGTATAATTTGCCTGATAAGCCCACCTTAGGAAAAATACTTTATAAAAACATAAAGCGGTCTATAATGAAAATTAAATAACCAACAATGCAAAAGGTCGGTTATTTAATTTTCCAAATCTAAATAACTTTTTTAAAAGAATGGCGCAATTCTTTGTTGTTTATCCAACGGGTCTATACCTAGAGGGATTTTCGACTTGCAAAGGTCTGGCCGAGTTATCCGAACTGCCGGGTCATCAAGTGCTGAGTTTTCGAGATTCTACCGTATCACTAAATAGATGTCTTATTTTCACTCCGAGCATGGAAAGTCACCTCTAGCTCCCATACAGATATAAACTAATTTCAATCTAATCTTGAATCTCCCTCCTTATCTATGCATTCATTTGTTTCAGAAGGGAATATTATATAGCAACACATACAATGCACATCAACTTATTGTAAATTCCGACGTAAAACATGCAGTTGTACACAAATGTAAGTCCGAAATTTACAGGTTCAGGTAATATGCTGGATATAAAAAGGGCAGCTTTAAAAATAAAGAGCAGTGGAGCATTTAAGAAAAAGATCCAACGTGAAACTACATGACCGTTTAGGCGTCACTAGTTCCCTAAAAGGAAATAGGTCCTTTGGAGAAGACCATCGCAACAAGCATTGCACACGTACATTTTAGGCTTCTTCGTAAGAAAAAAGTGCACGCGTTTATACGGCAAATATACCTACAAATTAAAAAATAAAGTTTGAAAGTATAGATACACGGCATGAAAGTATAGTTGCGCCGTTACGCGGGTAATGCACCCGAATACACGTTATTTGCATGAAATTCAGGAAATTAATACGCCAGCTTGGTGAAAGAAGTTGAATCGGTTGCAAAATGATGCATAAAAAAAGAAAGTACGAATCTGATAAACTTTGTTTAAACAAACGGAGTAATTTAAATACATTGACATTTTAATAAAATATGTATCATTAATTTAATTTGCAAAAATTCCGATTGAAAATTATCATAGTATTGCTTAAAAGGGAAATATATTTAACTTCTTAAATAAATCCCGCATGATTTCCATATTTATGTCAATGTATAACCTGATTTGCAAAACTTCATAGAACAAATCTTATGTGCACGATTAAGCAAACAAACATTTAATTCAATTTTTTCATTTTATGAAACTACCGAGGCTTTCTGTATACAAAAAAATAAATAATAATCATTATAATAAACAAATTGTTTTATATAAAACAACACAAATTTTAAAAAAAAATGTGACAAAATCTTTAGAATACAAACTACCTTAGACTACTAAATGGAAAGAGAACACAAAACACTTGCTTTAAAATATAGCATTGTTAAACAAATTCTGGAGGAGGATATGAGA